GTCCTATTTTTCTTCCCTGAATATATATTTGCTGCATAGCATATTACCACAAACTTAGTGGTTTAGAATAATACCCATTTATTATCCCATATTTCTGTAGGTCAGTTCAGGTAACACATGGTTGGGCCCTCTGCAGAGTTCTCACAAGGCTGCCATCAAGGGTTCCACTCAGGCTATGATCTCATCCAAACTCCGGGTCTTCCATACTCACTCAGGCTGTTGGCAAAATTTAGTCCCATGCAGCTATAGAACTCATGGTGGCCTTCATCTTCTGCAAAGCAAGGAGGTGAGCAATTCTCTGCCTCTGAATCTTTGCCATACAAAGTAATGTAATCATGGGAGTGAAATCCCATCATATTCATAAGTTGCACCCCTATTCAAGTGAAGGAGATTATACCAAATGTGTATGCCAATGGGCCAGGAATTTGGGATCTGTCTTACATGTGTGGTGTGGCTTTTTATTTTTATTTTTTGAGATGGGGGTCTTACGATGTTGCTAAGGCTAGTCTCAAACTCCTGGGCTCAAGCGATTTTCTTGCCTCAGCCTTCTGAACAGCTGGGATTATAAGCATAGTGCTACCTTGCTGAGTCTCTTGTGGACCATCTTAAAATTCTGCCTATCACAGTAAGACAATAAAACAGTAATTATATAGTGTAATACATAATTTCATAATTGAAATTACTTAAGTAATTTCAGTGTGATGAGTTTTAAAGTGTGTGTTAGGAATTTTCTGGTGCAAATGCCAGAAACCCAACTTAAGCACCTTTAGGCAAACAGGGCAAAGCTATTTGAAAGATGTCATATATTTGGAATAAGTATGAATAACCACAGTGCTAGGAGTTACATAGGTATGCAGAAGCAACTAAACCAAGGTCTAGGCAGTAGTCACAATTCACTTTCTCTCTCCCCCATTTTTTTCCTTCTCCCTCATTTTTACTCTTTCATATTCTTCCTGTTACATGCACATACACATAAACATGCTAACAAACACTTTCTTCTATGTGGCACTGACAGTATTCAAGTTTCATATTCATAGCTACTACTATGGAAGAGGGAAAAATATCTTAGCAATTCTAGTTTGAAAAATTCAAGAAGGACTCCGATTGACTCCTCTTTCATATATCAAATATCAAGATCAGGCCCGGTGCTATGCCTCATAGCTGTAATCCCAGAGCTTTGGGAAGCTGAGGTGGGCGGATTACTAGAGCCCAAAAGTTCATGACCAGCCTGGGCAACATGGTGAAACCCATCTCTACTAAAAAATACAAAAATTAGCAGGGTGTGGTAGGGCACCCCTATGATACCAGCTACTAGGGAGGCTGAGGCCAAGGGAGGTTGCAGCTGCAGTGAACTATGATCATGAGTCACTTCAGCCTAGGTGACAGAGTAAGACCTGTCAAAAGAAAGGAAAGGAAAAAGGAAAAGAAAGGAAAGGAAAACAAAGGAAGAAGGAATGGAAGAAGGAATGAAAAAAAGGAAGATAGGAAGGAAAGAAGGAAACAAATCAAGATCAGTCAAGTATCAATGATTGGCAGAATTATGCAAAAACATGGCAGTTTCCACTGGAACTGCATGGTTGAAGTGGCATAAAAGCCCTTCTCAAGGATGGTTATGGCTTTCTAACAGAGGATAGGTAGTATGGAGATTCTATACAGAGTTTTCTTTTCTTTTTTGACACGGAGTCTTGCTCTGTCACCTAGGCTGGAGTGCAGTGGCACAATCGCAGCTCAGTGCAACCTCTGCCTCCTGGGTTCAAGCAATTCTCCTGCCTCAGGCACCCAAGCAGCTGGGACTACAGGTGTGCACCACCAAGCCCTGCTAATTTTTTTTTTGTTTTTGTATTTTTAGTAAAGATGAGATTTCACTCTGTTGGCCAGGGTGGTCTCAAACTCCTGACCTCAAGTGATCTAACCAACTTAGCCTCCCAAAGTGCTGGAATTAAAGGCATGAGCCACTGCACCCAGCCTCTAAATAGAGTTTTGTATTTCAAAACTTTAGCACCCTTTTATTATAAATCTTTTTCTAAAAGATTATTTCTAAGTTACATTTTCATAATTAAGATATTCTAAATGTACTAGAAGTACTCACTATTGGTAGCAGGTTATCATGGAGTTTACAGTTGGTTTTAATGGAATCCATTTGCCTCAAAACTGTATGGGAAATTGGACAATTATATGAGCATATAAGAGACACAGTTTTCCGGGAAAAATGGTTAAGACTCATTTGGCTCTAGAGCAACCTTGCTTGGTTTAAGTCATAGCTCAGTCACTTGCTACCTGGTTAATCCTACTCTGGTTATATAACCTGTATGCTTCAGCTTTCCTCATCTGTAAAATGAGGATAATAATACAAACAAATCAGAAGGTTTGTCTTGAAAATAAGTACACTAATATGTATAAAAGATTTAGAATGGTAAGTAGTAAACATTAGCTATTGTTAGTTCAACAGCACTCTTTTGATTCCTAGTAGAATCCAAATGCCAAAAAGGTTAAAAATAACAGATTTGAAGAAATCCTTTTGTAAATCCTTTTTAAAATAAACTTTAGTTAATCACATCCACATGTATCTGTTTTCTGACTCCAGATGTTCATATACCAGGCTTCAAACCACAATGCAGCATTAATGACTATGAAGATTGTGTGAGAAAGACCTACCAAAAACTCTTATAAGCAAGGTTTGATTATAAAGACGCCAAGGCAATCTTTATAAATCCTTTTCCTTGCAGAGTGAGTCCGAGATTTTGCTACCTATTTAGTAACGATAATCAATGTCCACATTTAGAATAACCTCTTTAGTATTTACTCCATCATCAATGGTATGAAATACACAGAAGTTACTTTCCTGATAGCATTTAGACCTTGCATTCAGTCACTAATAATCTTTAACTTCATCTCCTCTTCCTCGACCCTGGGGGAACGACTCAAAAGGCCCAAAGGGGTCTATGGGCCAGTGTTTCACTTCCTTCTAAACAAATGTCAGCTGGGTCTCTGCTTCTTCACAGGCTTTTGTTGGAAAATGTTATCATATGTACTACTGGTCCCTAATAAAAACTAATATGTACTGAGCACTTATTTTATGCTTAGTTATATACCAAGTGCTTTTACACACACCATCTCATTTAAGTCTTTAAAAAAAACCATGTGGGGTTGGTACTGGTATTATCCCTGTTTACAGATGTAAAAAATGAGGCAGATAGAGGTCAAGTCCATGATTCACAGTCTCACAACTTCTTAGTGTAGGTATTGTGATTTGAATCCAGGTAATCGAATGCAACAGGCACATTCCTTAACCATTATCTATGCTGCCTTGCCAGTTAGTTCTTAAAAAGGAGAAGAGTGATTGTGAGAGTAAGGAGGGATGACTAACATCCATGCAAAATGACAAAAACAGTAGAGAAGATTAGATCTTTTAAAGTAAAAAATAACTTGGCTGATAGGCAAACCCATTTGAGAACTTGCTCCACAACTTTCCAGCTATATGACCTTGAGGAAATTACTTAGCTAAGTCTTAGTAATCTAGCTTGTAAAATGAGGGCAATGCCAGCACCAGCTTCACAGGGTGGTTGTGAGGATTAAATGGCATCGTGCCTGTAAACTGTTTATCAAGGTGGCTGGCTTTTAATAAACACTGCATAAACATTGCTTACTGTTATTATTATTTTCAGTATTTTATTCTACTTGGGCTTCTCAGCTTCAGACACCCTTTTTCTTTCTGTTTTTGTGGTTTAAGTACAGAGCTGTGTTGAACTAGGGTTGAGTCTTACTAATTCAAGCTCCAGGCAACCAGATCTTCACTTTCTTCCTGCAATTCTATTTGCCACCCACCATATCAGTAGTGATTTCGTGCCAGATTATAGATTTTCATTCACACATTTTAATTTAGAACTTTCTCTTTTATCTGTTTTTCAAGCATATTGTGTTAAAATTCCCAAATGATACTCTCAGAGTTTGCTACAAAGTCCTTATGATAGCTTTTAGAAAACTTAAAGTTGTTCTTAGGGGAACAATCATTGCTTTGCATTTCGTTGCTGAATAGAAAATCTAGAAGAACAATATCAACTTTTAAATGAAATTATATGCCTGGAAGGGGAGTATAAATATAAAAAAAGGAGAGCACCTCATTATCATTCTTTCAAGCTGCTGGAGTGAAACTTGAGTCATTGCAAATTCCAATATCAAAAACTCTCTTAGATATACTAAAGAACGTCATTATGCACATAGCAATAAAATGAGGATGTTATTAGAGGGAGCCACTAAGAATAAAAGATAGCCAAAGCAGATTTCTAAAATGAATAATACAATAAGCTCGTTAATAAGTACTGCGAAATAGCTCTAAAATTTTCCAACTGAAACTGAATTCCTTGTGGTTCTTCACCAGCCAGGGGCATCATTTTTTTTTTTCTGCTTAAATTACCCATTCTTCTTTGCTGGCCCATGCAAGAATTGTCTACCTATAACTGTCTAAACACAAAGAAACGTTTGATTTCGGTATTGATATTTATCAGAGTACTCTTCAAAATAAGTGAAATTAGGCTTCTTTTTACGCTGGGGAATCTGCAAACGGCTTTTGAACGAAGAATAAGCATGTGAAGAAGTCATGCTTCACCATTTTGCTGTAATCTTCTAAACTGTCTTCATGACATAAAACTTTCAATTGCAGAACATTTAAGAATTATTGCATGTCTCTTCAATAAAGCTAGTCATTAAAGTTTATTTTTTAGTTGATAGTAGTATATTTAGAAATATACATACCAGTTCATTTTCTCTTGCCATTTCCGTTTACCTCGTACAGAGGTTTCAAGTGGGATCTCTGTCACATTCACATTCAGAGATTTTGGCCCTAAGAACTGTTCATTTTTAATGTTTGTAGTTTCAATAGTTTAACTTTTTCTTTTTTCTCATTTTTTTTTGCTGTGTAATTATAAATTATAAATTTCTGAATTAATTAGCTGAGTAGGCTACAGTGTAGATAATAGAGCTAGTGTTAGATAATTTTTTTAATTTTAGATATTTTTATTTCTCCAAATTTGATATTTATCAGGAGTGACTGAAATAAAAAATATAATTGAGTCCCATCATCATCATCATGGAAATGGCTTTAAGAGAAAACTGGTCAGATGAATATTATTGCTTCCCATTTTCAACCAGTAAATAGTTGCCACAGATAAATTGACAGCCAGGAGTCTGTCGAGAATGCTCAAGATACGTTATATAATACAACATGCCTGTTCACAGGGGGAAAATTCCCAGGAAATAACTTATGTGTACGTCTTGATTTCATCATACAAGACAAGTACAAAAGCACCACCCATGCCTCTGAGAACATTGGACCATGCACCCTTGAAGAAAGCTTTGCCTCCTTCATCACGAACAATCTTCGACTAGCAGTCAAGTGTGCCTGTGTACATGATGTTAGTTCCTTTGCGCCCGGACTGCATCATCATGCGGCAGCGAACAGTGTCAAATGGATAGGAAGTCAACCTGGCAACAGCAGTGACAGTCTGTGCGATCATCCAGCTGATAACGATGTGAGTGTTCTTGGGATCTGGAAGCATTCCCTTTGCAGTGTCATAGATACCGAAGTAGGCAGCTTGGTAGATGATAATACCCTGCACAGATACGTTAAAGCCTTGGTACAGGCCCTTAATCCCATCAGATTTGTAGATCTTAGCCTCGGAATTCCCTTTCAGCTCCAGCTTTACCCACATCTGCTGCTAGAGGGGTATGGGCAAAATCAAGAGAGTACACAAAACACAAGGATGTGGCCCCAGCAGCATCGCCTGATGGCAGATTCCCTGCAAAGTAGCGCCAAAACTGGGTCCTCTTGTCCTCACCACCCAGGAAGATCTGCTTGTATTTATCTTTGAAGGCAAAGTTAAGGGCCTGGGTAGGGAAATATCTGATGACATTGGCCAGGTTACCGCGCCAGAAGGACAGGACTCCCTGCTCCTTGGGAACACCGACCACGCAGTCTATAATGCTCTTGTATTGCTTATCTGCAGTGATCTGCTTGCTGGCATGCTGTACCTGCAGCAGCAGCTTGACCCGCTCAATGGGCGCTACCGCCGTCTTGGAGATGGCTGCGGCCACTCCACCTGCCAGGAAGTCCTTGGCGAAGGACACAGCGGCATCTGTCATGCTGAAAGGAAAGAGGAGGCAGGCTGCTGCAGGACGGGACTGGGCCAGGAACCGGCTTTGACTCCGGGGCTGTGGGGCGTGTTAGATCATTTTTGAAGGCTTTTAGGTCTGTATGGAGGGAAAAAAGAAAAGGAAGTCGGGGAGTTCCCATACCCCACACTCTGTCCAAAGGTTAGGAAGTTGCGTCAAGGGTTCCTTTCCTTGGCTTCCACCATCTGAAGGCGTCTATAGCAAGAATTAGAATCAAAACCACAGAAACAAGAAATCAGCTGAAAATAAAACACTAAGAAATGGTAGTTTATTTTCTTTTGCCATTCTGCAAAGGAGGGTCGAATTTTTTGCAAAAGCTGATGGAGCTGCTGGCTGAGTTTTTCCCGGAGCAGGCAGGATGTGCATCCCGTCCTTCGCGCCTTCTCCCAGCTCCGGCCGGGTTCGCAGACTGAAGATTGACGCAAGGCCTGCGCCTCGCCGGGGACTCCGGCCAGGCCCCGCCCAGCCCAGAGGTAGGCTGCTCCCGCCGCGGGGGCGGCCCAGCCCCAACCACCGAGAAGAGGACCTTTGGTGTCCTAGAGCGGCCGCAGGCCGCGGGGCCGGGTTGGAGAACACCGAGTGCCTGAGGCCGCTTTTGCGGTCCCGCGCGGTCTCCTGCGTTCCAGGAGCCCTCACCTGATTCCCTACGCTGAGTGCGGCCCTCTGGCAGAACGGCGTCTGTGGCGAGGAGCGGGGTTCCAGCCTGCTGCGCTGACGCGGTCCCTGGTGTTTTCTGTGCTGGCCCTGGGTCGCCCTCGACGCTGCTTCCCGCCAGGAGTCTCCTTCTCACCGCAGAAAGGAGCTTCACCTGGGGCGGCCGGCGGGGAACCGAGAAGAACCCGCCGGGGAAGTGACTCCCAGGCCGCTAGACCTCGTGCGGATTGCGTCACTTTCCTCGGTTTTCTAGACCCCAATTTTGGGGTTGAATCCTTGCTGTGGTTTTGTAAGAATTAAATGATAAGGCGAACACCAATCATTGCTGCTTACTGAGTGCTTTCTGTGGGCCTGGTAATATTAACAGCTTAACACGAACTCGTTCCTGCATTCATTCGCTTCTGGCTGACTTTCCTATCAATACTGCAAGGTGCTGGAGGGGCCCCCACCCTTTGGTCAGTAAAACTGTCAGGGTCGGCCGGGCGCGGTGGCTCAAGCCTGTAATCCCAGCACTTTGGGAGGCCGAGGCGGGTGAATCACGAGGTCAAGAGATGGAGACCATCCTGGTCAACATGGTGAAACTCCGTCTCTACTAAAGATACAAAAAATCAGCTGGGCATGGTGGCGCGTGCCTGTAATCCCAGCTACTCAGGAGGCTGAGGCAGGAGAATTGCCTGAACCCAGGAGGCGGAGGTTGCGGTGAGCCGAGATCGCGCCATTGCACTCCAGCCTGGGTAACAAGAGCGAAACTCCGTCTCAAAAAAAAAAAAAAAAAAACTGTCAGGGTCACTGACCTTCTGAAGACGTTGAGGATGAGAGGTTTGTTGGAGTCCAGAAGTGGAGACAGACTGAATAGTTAACTACAAAACACGCTTTTTAATTACGACTTTGAGAGCCCACAGCTGGAGACCCCTTTGGTGAGGAGTGGAGGTGGGGAGAGAGGAAGGGAAAGGCTTCCCTGAGGAAGTAATGTTGCAGCTGTGACCTGACAGATGGGGCCGAACCAGCTGGACTCGAATTGCGTTTCAGGCCTAGGAAATAGCATAAGGACTCAAGCTGTTTCCTTCCAGCTTGAGTCCCTGTGCTCAAACTGATATTTGGCACACACCAGTAGTGGAACGCCACTCAATGCCTTATTCTCTTCCCCTTCTCTCAGCTCTGTCCCCTCCACATGGTAGGAAAATGAAGCTGGTAACTAATTTTGGCCCGAATAGTCCTGTTATTATATCTATTGTACTCCGCCATGTGGGTTCTTCCTAACTCCTTTTGATCCAAATAGATATTTTTGAAAATGTGAAGAAAGCAGTATCATATCTTGTATGGTTTCTCATTGCCTTCTAAATCAGATATAAACAACAAAGTTGCTTGTGGTGTTCTCTGTCAAACCAAGGACCTACATTTAATTCCAACTTACACTCTGCCGCACCCTTTTTGCTATATTCCTTAGTTGATGTTGATTCCATTTGGAACCCTGTATTCGGCGTTGAAAGCATTGCATATTCTGAAGCAATTGTGTTCTTACTCAGCACAGGCATTTCTGTTATCCCAAGAATCTCCCTACCTCCAGAACATGTTTACTTCTTAATCACTTCCTGATAGTAGAGAAGACTACTATTACTGTAAATAGTTACAATTATTGAATATAGGCATGTTTTTGAATTAGAAGAATCCTATCCCAATCCAAGGTATAATTTGCTGATCCCATACTGATTCCTTTTCTTCCCACTCCGTGTCCTTTCATCTGCTATTCCCGAGTCCAGATGCCAGCCAGGCATTTGAGAACCATCCGATGGTAACAGGATGGAGGCTGACTCAACTTCACTCCACCACCTGCTTTCCTGCCTTCAGGGAGATTTTTGTACATAGCTTATGCTTTAACTTCTGCTTGTTACTGTTCACAGCACTGTGATTCTACTTTTTTTTGGGGGGGGAGGAAGGGAGAAAGGCAGGAAGGCAGGGAAGGAGGAAGGGAGGGAAGGAGGAAGGGAGGGAGGAAGGGGGGAGGGAGGGAGGGAAGGAAGGGAAGGAAGGAAATCAAGCAATGAGAGAGACATTGCCGACCTGGATCTAGAGGTTTACAAGTTGATTTCTTTTTTTTTTTTTTTTTCTTTTTTTTGAGAGAAGGAAAGAAAAAAATGAGTAAAGGAGAGGAAGAAAGAGGAAGAGAAAGAGGGAGAGTGATGGAAATATTGCTTTATTCTGAAAAAAATGGGTATTAATAATGGCCAATCAATGTTTCATTTAAACCTATGAGTAGGTGTGATGTGGTATTGACAAGAATGTATGTTTTGTGTATTTGAAGTAGAGAGCTCTATAGATATTTATTAAGTTTACTTGTTCTGGATCTGAGTTCAAGTCCTTGATATCCTTATTAATTTTCTGTCTCATTGAATCTATGTCTCCTATCTGGGTGTTAGGATCGTTAGCTCTTGTTGTTGCATTGATCCTTTTACCACTATATCTTTGTTGCTTTAAAATCTATTTTATCCGCTACGGGAATTGCAACTCCTGCTTTTTATTTATTTATTTATTTATTTTTGCTCTCCATTTGGTTGGTAAATCTTTCTCCATCCCTTTGTTTTGAGTCTTTGTGTATCCTTGCATGTGAAACAGGTCTGGATGTAACATGCCGTTGGGTTTTGGCTGTGTCTTTTGATTGGGGGATTTATTCGATTTAGATTTAGGGTTACTGCCATTTGATGTTAACTGGCTGTTTTATCCATTCGTTGGTATAAATTCTTCTTTATGTTGGTGCTCTTTACTTTTTGGTATATTTTTAGAAAGGCTAATACTTGTTGTTTCTTTCTGTGTGTAATGCTTCTTTCAGAAGCTCTTGTAAAGCAGGCCTGGTGGTAATAAAATCTCTGAGTACTTGCTTGTTCATAAAAGATTTTATTTTTCCTTCAGTTGTGAAGCTTAGTTTGGCTGGATATGAAATTCTGGGCTGAAGGTTCTGTTCTTTGAGGATGTTGAATATTGGCCCCCACTCTCTTCTGGCTTGTAGAGTTTCTGCTGAGAGATCTGCTATAAGTCTGATAGGCTTGCCTTTGTGGGTAACCTGACCTTTCTCTCTGGCTGCCCTTAGTATTTTCTCCTTCATTTCAACACTGGTGAATCTAACGATTATGTGCCTTGGGGTTGCTCTTCTTGAGGAATATCTTTGTGGTGTTCTCTGTATTACCTGGGGTTGAATGTTGACCTGCTTTGCTAGTTTAGGAAAATTTTCCTGAATAATATCCTGAAGGGTATTTTCCAGCTTGGATTCATTCTCTCTGTCGCATTCAGGTACACCTATCAAACGTAAATTTGGTCTTTTCACATAGTCCCACATTTCTTGGAGACTTTGCTCATTTTTTTTTATCCTTTTTTCTCAAATCTTGTCTTCTTGTTTTATTTCATTAAGTTGGACTTTGACCTCTGATATCCTTTCTTCTGCTTGAACAATTCGAGTGTTTAAACCTGTGCATACTTCTCGGAGTTCCTGTATTGTATTCTTCAGTTCCATTAATTCACTTATATTCCTCTCTAAGTTGTTTATTCTCAATAGGATTTCGTCAAACCTTTTTTCAAAGTTCTTAGTTTCTTTACGTTGGGTTACAACATGTTCTTTTAACTCACAGAAGTTTCTTATTATCCATTCCCTGAAGCATGGTTCTGTTATTGGGATGTGCTCGTTCTCCATCAAGCCTTGTTCCATTGTTGATGTGGAACTGTGATCATCTTTAGAGGGAGAAGCATTCTGATTTTGAGTATTCTAAGCCTTGTTACGATGGTTTCTTCCCATCGTTGTAAATTTATCCTTCTGTCGTCTTTGAAATTACCAACTTTCAGATTAGGTCTCTTGAGTGGACATCCAAGTTGTTAGTTCCCAGGGCCAGAACAGCAGCAGTAAGACTGATGGTGCTTTTCTGCCCAGGATTCTCTTGTCTGGCTTCCTTCTTGTGTCCGTAATGGGCGACTCTGCCTTCCCGGGGCTTCAAACGTCGGTCAGAAGGGGAACCAGTCTCGTTTACTCTGCACTGAGAGCTGCTGCACCGAGGTGCCGTCACAGCCGCTGTGCCGGTCTCAGGAGTCATGCTGGGGACCCGTGTGGGTCCTCCAAACCTTGGTCAGAAGGGGAGCCTGCCCTGTTTACTCTGCTCCGAGAGCTGCCACGCCAAGTGCCAGCGAAACCGCTGCCCCAGCCACAAGAGTCGTGCTCGCGACCCGTGTGACTCCACTGGGGTTCTTCTGCTCCATGAGCAACCAGAATTTGTCTGAAAGTGTGACGTCCTCTAGTTCTCTGCGCTTCCACTGAGAGCTGCAATCCCGAGATGTTAGTGATCGGCCCTTTTGGATCGTTCCGTGATTCTACTTTAGGCACCTTCTATACATTCTTATTCATTACTCTTTTTTCTCCTCTTTCCTGTTTATAATTAGAAAGGTGCTTAACCTATTTTATTTCAGAAGCAAAAAAGAGATCGAATTATAATGATAACATGAGTATAGTATTATACTTGATATATGATCACCATTGATATGTTCCTCATCCTCCAACATCCCTTAGATGAATTCTCATAACCCTAGACTGTCATCAGCAAGAACCCTGTTCGGTTGTGTTAGCCAAAGTCCTCCTTATCCTTGATGCTTCCTCTTAGCAGTTTTGTATTCACTTATCCTACCCTGTTCCTTGTCGATACATTCCCACATTTCCCATGCTGTATACAGAGTTGAGCACAATCTCTCTCCCCAACTGCGTAATCTTATTGCAGTGGTCCCTATCCCTATGGCAATGATCTTGAATAAAGTCCTCCATGCCGTGCTTTAAGAAGTGTCATTGATTTCTTTTACAAGGCCTGTCCTATGCAATGCAGAATATTTAACAGCATCCCTGGACTTTATCCACTGTATGCCATTAATACTACCCCTTCTTCATTGTGGCAAATATAAATGTCTCCAGACATTGCCAAATGTTTCCTGGAGGACAAAATTGTCCCTGGTTTATTCTAATATTAATCATTTCTCTTTTCTTGACACTTGCCTACCCAATGACTATTGAAAACTCAATAGTAAATATTTTGCATTTTGCATTTTGTTTTAGAAATAGTTAATATCAAGTTAACAGAAGTTTTACAAAATTAGATGTTCTAAACTCTTTATTAAACTCTGAAATAATGCCACCAAACCCTGGAATGCTTTTTCATCTTAGAATGTACCCTTTTTATGACCTGTGGATTTGTTGTTTAAAATTTAAAATAAGTTAGCTTTGAGTGAATGAATTATCTTAAAGCAAAGGTATAGTAACATTATGAAAAAGAGTATTAAGACTGATATAGCCTT